ATCTATCGGTAAATTAGTATTGACTGTACAGCCTGTAGATACTGTGCACTCTGCACTGCTGCTATTGCACTTCTGGTTAGATGCTAAACTGTATTTCGTTGCTTTGTACTTGTACATGTTTAATGACAAGTTGAATCTAATCTAATCACACACTTAAGTCATTTAGTAAATGTAGCATATTTAAAAGTGAAACCTTAGGATTTGTTTCGTGGTTGTCTAATAAAGCCAGCTCTCAGCTCGCTGTTGAACACACAACACTCTTTGAACCTACTGACCTCTGCTTAACTTTACACTCATGAGAACTATCAGTTTCAATTGACTAGTTCATGTCATAGCTTTTATGAATAAAGGTCAGCTGTACTTAGTATGGTTTTCATTAAATTACAGAATAGCTTTAAGCCTTCATAAAGACAAATACATCAGTTTAGTTCCTTTTCAAAATGATACTGTAAGGAAGATTTTTTTTTTTCCTTCCAAAGCAAACCTGAAGAACATCATCCAAGATGTAAAGTCTAAGTGATTTTTAAGTTATTAGGTGAATACAGTTTTATTCCAACATTGTAGAAAGAAAATAATCAAAGTCTGGCGTAAAATGTTGGTTTGTCTGATTTGCATTCCTGATAGAAGGTATATTAAATTCATAACCAAAACAGTATACATTTACTGACATACACTGATAGCTCGAGGCCTGTGTTTTATTTGATCAGTCCTCTGTTTTCCTTTGTTACCAAAAAAAACAACCCACTAACCAGGAATACCAGCTCGATGACCCCTCAACCTCTTATAATCTTGACCTGTCACTCTGTGAAGAGTTGGGAAGGGGTGTCATGGCTGTTTGGACTATAGTCCAATCTGAACTGACCCTGATAAAGCACATGGCAACTCTGGGTCTGTATGTTTGGATGTGATGCATTTCCGTTCATTATGGGATGGCCATCAGTTACCAGTGTTTTAAAAAAGAAAGATCAGCAGTCAAGTTGGTTTGTGCTCAGGTATTTCAATCAGCCACCCTGTTTTGTGACTGAAGCAATGACATCATTGCAATTAGCTGGTGTGTGTCTGTGTGTGAGGTCAGCAGAAGCAGCTCAGAGTGGGCATCTTGCCAGGCCTGCTGCAGCTTGAAGGATGCTGTGCCTGTGTTGATCATTGTGGATTGACTCAGCCAACTGATCGCTGAAATGTAGGGAAGGAATTTTAAAAAGAGGAAGACACCTCTGGAAATATATTTTGTTTTTAAATGTATGCTTTACAGTTGGATTTACTTGTGCCATGATGGAGCTCCATTAGAGAACTGGCATGTTGCAGTTTGGTTGTAGCTCAGTTTGAAGGTATAGTTAATGATGCTCATGACAAGTTTTTCTTTTATTTACATCAGCACCTAAAAAAATAAATAAATAAATAAATTACACAACCCCCTTCGGTTAGGGTTGCATAACTATTCCCTTCCAGAATTTTGAATGTGCATTACAACGGCAATGATGCTTGCGACCGGAAAAATATGACTAACAAGCTACAGATGCCACTGTTGTTCTCTAACAGCTGCTATAGCTAACTTCACAATAATGCAAAACAAAACTAGCAAGTTCACTCACTGTCCATGGAAAAATAAATACATGGCTGACTGTGGGAAGCCTTTACTGGAAAAATAAATACATGGCTGACTGTGGGAAGCCTTTACTTCAATAATAATTTCCTGTGTTGGTCTACAATACTGTAGGTGATGTGCCGCATATTAACAGTCCATTACTGACCTGGAGTCAGCTTGTATTGGTTTTGGTGGTCAAGATTATAGAAAGCAGGGCAGAAAGTCTGGTCCTGAATCAGCACTCAGGGGCTTTGAAAGCTCAGAGTTTGACCCTATGGCATGTAGTGAGCTGTGGATTAGCATCAACAAGTCAAAACAGGAGTGGCAGGTGTCTCCCACTCATGCAAGCCTTTAAGATAGGCTTTATTCACAAGTATCACCTAAGAAAAGACTGCTTCACCAAGGATGGAAGCCAAGAAATGTTTTGTCTTGCTTGAAAGGGGTCTTTACCATAGAAAGCTTTCATGGGCAGGCTTGCATAGGTACTAGGGGAGAATGAATTGCTTTAGAAAATAAACATTTAATGAAGATGTGGGGCTCAATTCAACAGCAAGCTGTATCTTTACTTTTTCATTCTCACCCACTGAATGAATTTCCCCATGGACACAGTGCAGCAAGGCCCCATCTGTAATGAAAAGGGGGAGGCTGGGCTCTAAATGAAATGTGTAGAGGAGTTAGAATTCTCCAGGGGTCAGACACAACAGAATGCAGGAGGGTCACTGGTCCTGTGAGTTGGCCCACAGCTACTTCACATTGCTAGCACTGGTGACATGCACACACTCATTTGTTTCTATCTGCACAAGTTGTCAAATTAAATGTTTAAGAGATGTTTGCTCTTTCACACTTGGACAAAATCTTAAGTTTCTAGAGAATCATAATTGAGAGATACTGTGTTTATGTGTAAAGTAAATGATGTATAGGAAGTAGTGTTAAGCACTCCATCACAAGTGGCGTGAACAGTACAGCCAAAGACAAAGTCTGCCTTTATTCAAATGCTTCTAAGCTATTAAACTGGACTGAAATCTACTAGTACTACAAAAAGCTAAGACATGATGACAAATATGCACAGTTGAAATTTTTTTTTTCTGTCACAGTCCCTTTGGGTGTGCTTTCCATTTGTTACTTTGGTTTAGTCACGTTTACGTTGTTTCTTTCCCCTGACACGTGTGCTCTGCCATGTATTTGAAAATCAAAAGGACATCACTGCCTGAACTTTCTATGTTTAACCCATTATGTAATGTGCTCTCAGTTTTGTTTGGTTTTTTCACTTGTGCAAGAGTGCTTGCATGCACTACAGGAGTGCTGCAGGCTGCATGCGTGTGCCACATGCTGTATGTTGTGATGACAGAGTGTCGTGGAGGTGGATGTGCTCTGCTGTCTGGAATAATGCTGATCCTCTTAAATGATTACTGGCTGCGACCACAGAGAGGCGACCTGCGTGGTGAACATGCGGACAGATGTCTCACCCCCACCCTGTACAAAACATGCACTCACTCTGCATTCACGTGTTGTTCAGATTACAGGGAAGCTCAGATAAAATTGCTTTTCTTTAGTAGACTAAGTCTATTACTGCTCATTCATTTATTCAGCACCTTTTCTTCTCAGTAAGTGGGCTGTGTGTTGAGAAAAATCAACCTCTGAGTGGGGAAAGTTATCTGAAGTATTTTTGTGGGTGCACTAAGACAAATTGACGGTGATAATTTCATTGATCTTTATTCCTGCATTAAATTTGTTCTGTGTGAAACAGCCTGTATATGTAACATTGTGACTCATCTTTAAATATAATATCTGGAAACACTATCTGAAGGTAATGTTTTGAGAACTGATTGAGTCCATTCAATCTAATAGCTGTTTTCCCAATGGGATTAAAAAAAACAAAACAACCCAGAACAAAGCTTTCTGTCACGTAGAACAAGAAATACAGGTTTAGTAAACCCACCGTGACCAAGGGCTTTTGTGTACTAGGTTTCTATGGCCTATTTACTCATATAATCCTAATGTGGCTTTAGACCTATAGAAATGGCTCGCATGTAGCTAAACAAAAGCTAATGTTGGTTCTTTACTGGAGAACTTGGATTCTAGGAAATTTGTAAATTCCCACACTGATCTGTTCACAAAGCTGCCAAAAATGACATTGTTCATATCAAATATAACCTGTGAGCTCTACATGTTGCTGATGTAGCTTCAAGATGTAAATTGATCCACAAAGAGGCTCAGCTGCATATTTAACACACACACACAAAAAAAATATATAAGAACAATCTCAAAAACCCCTGGGTGAAATTGTGTTTGCTGGCAGAAGTAGGGCTCATTACAGATTGATGGCAAAAGAGTGCCGGCATTGTTGGATGTTTTTCTCCAAATGACCGTTGGGGAATGTGCGTGGTAGGTCAGTGTCGAGCCCTACTGTGTCCAGTGTACCACTCCCAAGTTCAGGTCCATTACAGAACCCGTTTTGTCTTTGCCTCCCATTTCTGGGCTTGGCTGTCTCACCCTCCTCTGGGCTCGTCATTTGACTGTGTGTGGGTGCCTTTGGTGACTGTAGGGAGTTGTGCTCTCAGGCTTTGGTGGGGCCCCAGATGCACACAGCTGGAGCCAGAGATTTGCCCTTTGTCCCATGTTGATGTGTGTGACCTTCATGAACTCCTGCATGCTGAAAAGAAGTAGAGCCATTCTGGATTGTTCCTCTCTAAAATATCATCTTTCTGTTAGTGACATTTCCAAACAATGCTTTTAAAGACTTCACTAGCCTTTAAAATGGCTTGCTCTCAGGCTTGGCCTGGATGTCATAAATTGAACTTTGAATTGTGCATTTCAGTCAAATAGACACTATAGTTTTAGAACAAGACTGAAACAGTGGTGGGAAAAACATCTTGGTATCTGATTTGAGAGTATGACATCCTATGTTCAGCTTGTTTCTTGGATATTGCTGTCTCAAAAGCAGTTTTGTTGAAACTCCATGGACTTGTTTCTGCTTTGAACCCAAACTGAATACTGGTTTGGGAGCTTCAGGGATTCTTATGGTGAGACTAGCAGTGAGGGGAGGGATGCAAAGGAAGTGGAGGTAACCGCCCACCCCACCTCTCACCTCCTCTATCCCATCTCATTCCATTTCATTGCATCCTGGTTGTGGAGTTCCTGGATTGGTTTCCAGCTTGAAGATGAGAAGGGGGAGGTGTGTGTGTGTGTGTGTGTGTGTGTGTGTGTGTGTGTGTGTGGCAAGCCAACAAAACAATGGTGGCTTTGTGAGAGGGTCCCGCTGTGACAGGACTAGGGTGGGGGAGTGAGAGAAGCGGTCAGGGCTTAGTGAAGCATAGCCATTTCAT